CTCCTCCTGCTTTCCTGGAAAAGCCAGGAGGGGGCGCACGGAAAGCAGCCGTGAAACATTAGAACACCTGATGGACGTCTACTTTCCTGGTGCGGTAACGCAGGGGGCTCAGTCCCATAGACAAGGCATTCCAGTTGACGAAATCATCACTGCCGATAAAGTAGCTTGAGCTATCAGATCCTTCCAACCCTACAAATCTCCATGTTAGACCTACCCATGGCACGCTGGTATGGTTGCAGGCGGTTGACACCAAATTCCATCTACTCAACCTGCAAAAGGTGTAACGACAAGCATGCCTATGCACAACGGGAGTGATCTACTCCACGCCTTAGGCGGCGCTAGAGACCTTCCTGGACATTCCATCCAAAGACGTATAGGTCAAAGGTACCGCAGCTAAAGGAGCTCAACGACCCAGTGCATCTAACAGGCTGCGAAGAACTTGCAACGGTCACGCCACAATTCTCAAGAGAGTGGGGGTAGAGTATTGCAGCTCTGACTATCAGGTTACGGAAACTGACTTCAACCGAAATTTCGATCGATGATCGACCTAGCTCCATCCAAGTTTGCCTTCGTTGTTGACAGTCAGGCGGCTATCGATATGCGTTAAAGAATGCCGACATACTGGAAGTGGACCAATATGCTTGAAAGGCATCTGAGATGGGGCTCGTGGAAGCGATCTAGAAAGTGAAATCACCCCTGCGATTTCTGTATTCAGAGGTCGAGAGAGTGACCAGGGCAGCGACCAACAGTAGGTGGTAAAATTTGCACACCTGCGTGGTATCACGCTCGCTCTGGCCACGGCTCGACGAACGAAGAACAAGGAGTTTATTAAGACTCTCAAAGCCAAGCGTTAGGCTTCCCACAGGAATACTAAAGGCGACACTGGACCATTGGCCATTGTATATCGGAAAAACATATAAACAATTCCGGGAATTGACTTCGCTCGAAACTTCCCTCTTGCGCCTAAATGAATGTTTACTTTTGCTATAGATTGAAACCGGTCGCTGACTAATCTTATTTGGTTTAAAACGGAGGAGAATATTGAAACAAATAACTTGGTTGAGTTCTTTCCATCCAAGAGCCCATCGCAATAGGACCAGCACTGCGTATACGTAACAATACATAAGTAATATTTTGCTACACAAACACGAGCTTATTCCTGAAGTCACATTCCATGTAAACAATTGTATATTTATTCTTTAAAACACTGAATACAGTTATTATTTTGTGTAATTAACTTTTCGCAATCAATGCGTGCAAATGGTCTTGACCGAGTACGCATACCTATGTATGTATGTATATCATCATAAGCTTCATAAGCAGTCATAAAGTAGCATGAATGTTTGCATTAATATCACATGTAATAATAAGTAAACAAAACTGCCATTGCAAAAGTTCCATTTAAATGAATTTGTGCGTCCATTCGTATGCGCAGCACTCAAATAAATGACATTTTTGCGGTTGAAAAGGCAAAATAATTGACCTTAACTAGTTGGTAATGGATTAAATGTTGTAAATTATGAAAATGACCAAGTGTGGTGAAATTCAACATAAAATGGCAATAATGAGCTGACCAAAATTGGGCTGCATATGAAAGCAAGCATCAGCGTTAAATAAACAAATGTAAGCTGCATATACATACATAAATATTATTACCGGCCGCACATTAATTTTGTATGAGGAACAAATATAATGCAAAGAATTTGAGAAATTACTCTGAAAATTACTAATGAATTTAAATTAATTTGCAATGCTGCGTTTCGTTTTGTTAATAAATATTTGATCGATAGATTTGAAGAACGTAATTTATTTCACACACATGAGTGCCTTCATTCAATTTATTTGGCTTAGAAAAGTTCAAATTAATATATATATATATATATATGCAACAAATCTGTGAGTGCCCGCTTTCAATCTCACCATTTCGATGGCTGGGGCGTATACGCAATCATTTAACGTAGAGATGGAGTTTAATTTATGAAAGCGGTAGTCTTTTACCGACAACTACAGAAACAATAGAAACATTCCTCAAATATTATTATTGTGTTTTATAGAAAACAGAAAATAGGAGACAATATGTACCTAATGAAAAGCAATCAATTTTCATATGTCGCACACTTTATATTTCGACTAGAAATTGGCGCGACACGCACGTTCACGCACGCTTATTCACGGATTTTTGTTTTCAAATGGAAACTTTATTTAGGTATATATTGCATTTGTTACAAAAGCTTGTCCAAACATCAGTAAATGTTTCGGAATTTTTTTTTTTTTAATTTGTGATTTTACAGGCCATTAACTTTTAGTACAATCAAGTGTTATGCTAGATCTCTACTTGTCATTAAATGGCAAAAATTGTGATAACAAAATTTGGCATTAAAAAATATTCGTGTCATTACGTCCAAAAAATAGTCATTAATTTCTTTTCGACTTGGTATTTTTTAAATGGAACAAATTTTTTGCCATTTCAATGCCTAGTGGCAATTCGTCATTGGTTTTAAAGCTGAATTTCCACCAGGCATTATATGACAATGTTGAACATTAGAAAATACCCGCGCCATTAAGTGCATAAAAGTAGTCATTGCATCTGTTTCCACATGACATTTCTTAAATGACATACATTTTTTGTCATTATAATGCCACAATATTTTTAACATATTTTCTTCCATACAAATACAAATTATGTTCGACAATTTTTTTTGTATGGTGAAATTAACTGATTAATGGGATAATTTACCTCAAGTACCGTCACGCTTGCAGAGATTGCAGTTGCGCACGGTCGCAGAGGTTGCACGTTGAAAATCAGGGATCTTTCCCATATCTAATTTCGACCAAGAAACATGAAAAGTTTCTGGTTTTCAACTGATGTAAAAATAAAGGTAAAATTAGCAAATAATTTTTAAACACAAAAAATCTGTTATAAAAATTTGTTAGGCAATCATCAAAAACGGATACAAAAAATTAATTTAAATGCACCGCTGAACGCAAAAAATTGCGAAACTACGCAACGCAAGATCCGCGTTGGATTACAAAAGATGAGTTGCCAAATGTAATGAAATCACTAATGTTTTATTTTTTTAACAGGGCTGCCACCTGTTAATAAAATTAGTTAGATTCAATTATAAGTAGTAAAACTAAAAGACTTAGCCTCTAGATGTGCAATAATGTAATATTTTTCTGAGTAGGGTTGCCACCTGTTAAGAGATTCGTTGGATTAAAAATGAGGCTCCAAGGCATGGCCTTCGCATGTACAAAAACGTTTATTTTTTGAGTAGGGTTGCCAACTATTTAAAAAATACTATTTTGCAAGATTTGTTGACCACGCTCATCTCGAAAATTACTGAACGGACCTAGATGCGATTTCGTTTATCATAATCTGTATCGGTACTGGTGTTATTTTAAGTACTTAGAATTTCTATACGTTTGCCACCTGCCTAAAAAATTATACGATCCGTTCTGTGCATTACAAAAAGTGAAATGTCAAATGAAAGGGATTGGCCTCTAGACTGTTAATAATATATTATTTTTGAGTGGGGTTTCCACCTTTTTAAAAAATTATAAGATCTTCACTGTTCAAGTGAAATGATTTGGTCTCTCGATGTGCAATAAGATTTTATTCTTTTAATGGGGTTGCCATCTTTTGAAAAATTAGTACCTTATATGAAGGGGTTAGCACCATAAGGGGCTAAGTGACATTTTTTGAAAATATAAGTTATACCCATATTTGTATAGTTAAATATAGTGTTTATGTGGTGACAAAAAGTAAACACTTTTTGAATTAGTTAATTGACCTGCATTCATTTAGACAAGAATCATTTGAAATGCATTTACCCAGAATTTACAATAAGTTATCAAATTTAGCCTTAATTATCTCAAAAAAAATTCAGATCTACTTAGATCCTTTTGATTCTAACCCCTTCGTATATAATACGCGAAATCATTTCTTGTTAATGACATCAGATTTGCACGGTTAATTCAGTTATAAAAAAACGGGGGGTCCAATGAAAGAGCCTGGCCTTCCGATGTGCAATAAGGTTTTATTTTTTTTTTTTGAAAAAAAATCAGTGTATCATTCAAAGACCCAGATTTTGAGAGTAAATAATTTCCGAATTCTGATTATACTGATTTTCCTAATTTATCCGAAGTACTCGCAAATACCGTGGAAATTTGAAAAAGTATATTAAAGTCATTTTCTTTTGTCACAGTGTGTTATTGGTTGGTATTTCTTTTCTTAAAATTTAAGAATGACTTTCAGGGACCGAGAATACCGGTTAGTTTTTTGAAGGTCGAAATAAAAGCCCTTTCCTAATTAAAAAAATTGGTATCACATGAAAGAAGACTAACTTTAAAACTGGACGACCTATTGAAAAATATTTTAATAAAAAAATGTTTTTTTAATTGCCATAGAACAAACTTTGGGTCTTTCGTATTCAATTCCAAAAACATTATAAATAGAGGTGGCAAACTTCTTCCGTCTTCTAAAAGCTATAATAGTACTAATAGTACTTTCATTTGACACCAAATTTCGAACTTAAAATCTATTTGGCCAAGTTGAACTGTTAAAAAAATAACTGTTATTTTCGGTCCCTCATGACTTTCATTAATAATTGGTTAGATTTGCTTAAGATAACAACGAAAAAATAATATCATTAGAATAAATGTTCACCTAGACTCTGAAGTCAAATCAAAATAAATCACAAATGCATAATTAAAAGCACATTCATTTACACTTGCATACGTTTTTTTTTTTTTCATATGCATGGTCATTCATATATATTCATTTATATAATTACAGTATCCACTTTCACTAACTCACTTATTTATTTATTTATTCATTTTGTGGCTTGTACTGCAATCACCTTTAACATTTTAAGCACTTACCGGGTCACCACAAAAATAAATAAATAAAAAAATAAATCAGAAAACAAAAACCTAAAATAAATATGTATGTACATCCATTACACACTCCATAGTAGTTGAATGTTACATTTCCTACTCACCGATATGAAGACCTCTTCGGCTTGCTGCAATATGGCCACACGTGACCAACCGAATTTTTTCATTAATTTTATACGTGTCGGATTGTGTACCGTAGCGGAGGGATGTGTACGAAATAGCGTTGGAAAGCGACTGCGATCCGAGAGCGCCGGACTGGAGGCACCGTAGCAGAGCTGAAATGGAGAAAAACCAAAAATAAAAACAAATGCAAAAGTGAATAAGTGAAATGGCAAGTTGGATAATAAGTTCGAGCATGTGCTGTAAAAAGTAGTATAAAATGTTGAAAAAGTAAATTTTTTTAAATTTTTTTTTTGCAAGAAATCTACACGAAATTCCTCTGCATATGTGGTGATAATGTGCATTAGCGTGGTTTTGCTGCATCTGTGGTGGCTGTTGCTTTCCACTTTCGGATTCCTTTGCTCTTCCTGTTGGCCTTTGTGGCAGCACTCTGCACTTATAGTTTGTTTGCCATTTGCCAGCAGCTCGTCGTGTATTTTGTGGCCAAAGTGCTGCTATAAGATTTTCGAGCAATTAATTTCGTTAGATGGCAGTGGCAATGGCGAGCCGAGCAGGTGCATGCCACGTAGAAAAATTATATGGCTACATTTTGAATGTTTGTATTATGGAGTACGTATATATGTATACATACATATGTATGAAGTTTAATGTGTTTAAATACTTAGTTGATGAATGCTTTATGAAAAAGTCGGAAAGATAGTCAGCCTGTTAGTCTGAAGTATTTTATAAAAGTCGTTCGTAAAAGCAAATTCTTAAGTAGTCTTTAGCGAACTAGACTGCAAATAGTTAATTTGAGTTGAGTTTAAAAATTACTGAAAAAAATCTACACAAATTCATTAACGGATACATCAACTCCAAAAATGTGTCCGTGGCATTTCCGCTCAAAAAATATGTATTTGCTGCGGTCGTGCAGGGTAACATCACTCATAAAAAGTTAGTACGTGCTACCTGTCTAACACAGGTCACTGCTGCTGGCACTTAGCGCAGTACATCAAATGGAAAAAACAAAATGCATAAATGGAGAAAAAGAGTATGCCAAAAAATTAAATTAAATTGAGATTTCCAAAAATGTATAAAAATGCCATTACAGCTGCGCTGCAATTAAATATGGTTTTGCCATATTGCGCGCATTCATTAAACATATTCTATTTGTATTCCATTGTTTGTGTTGGTTGCACTTGCGGGCTAATTAAGGCTAATTGGGAAATGCATGTTTGAGTGTAGCGCACAGGGACAGTGTTGTGATTTGCAAAGGCCATTGCTTCGAGCGGCGAATGCTGGCACATAAAGTTGTGGGTAGTGCTAATGCGATGAAGGAACTAAGCATTTAGGTGCATAGATGTGTATTAAGAGGGAGATAAACTTGAAAGGCGTTTTGATGGAAACTTGAAAGTGTGAAAATGGCATAGCGTAGCTGGAGGAATGAGGGAGCGAATTTTTACATGGATAGATCGAAAGAAGTTTGACGGAACGTTTGGTTGAGGACCTTTTCTGTTCAAATTCATGCTCCCGACCGCTGTGTTGTCTGCCCGTTAGAGGAAAATAGCTGCTATTAACTGATTAAAAGGTCAGCTGTGTGACGTTAATAAGGGACGTAAATGTCTGCTCTGATAACCACACCCCTCCGATCGGAGCCTTAAACTCACTTGTGTACTCATAACTGGTCGAATAATTCATTAATCCTTTTACAATTTTATAATGACTGTCTCGAATGAAAGGATCTCAACGAACAAGAGAGGGATGATAGACTACTTGATCCACAGTTCTTAGAAAGATTGGGAATTTCTCCCTCAACAGTCTGGAAGCTCTTTTTCTCCAATAAATAATAACGGAAAACTTTTGACTCAACCTTAAAGATCAGAATATGCTGCGGTTGCTAGATAAGATTAATCGGGCCTATATATGTATATGATGAAGAATCCATATTTCTTTAGAATGCCCTGAACGGCAAATGGAGTTTATGTGAAGCTTCTTCAAGTCCGAGATACATCCGGAGGTTTGCCTTTGCTTGTTGAGGAGTGACCGCTGTTACTGAAAACCAGGGATCGGCCATCTTTACACTTATTAGACCTTAAATAACGTCGAAATTTCAATTCATTCATCTAGCCAAGGCTCAAGGTCTCGGAACCATTAGGTGTAAGGTGCTCATGGGCAACTCTAATTGGACTCGTTCCTTCCATTACTCTTCCGTCTCCTAAAAAATATATTAAGCGAGACCAACTTCTTCTTTCTTCTTATTTGGCGTTGAACCGCTTAAGCGATTTTAGCCGAGTTCAACAAAGCACGACAGTCGTTTCTCCTTTGGGCCAACTGACGCCAGTTAGAATTGCCCAGTAAAGCGAAGTCTTTCTCTACTTGATATTGCCATCGCAGTGGGGGCCTCCTTCCTTGTCTTTTGCCTTTGCAGAGGTGGAGAGTCGGTGTCCTTTCGAACGGCAGGGCTAAGCCAGCGCAGTCGCCGGACTATGTCCATGTCTTGTAAAGCGCATACTGCTCGTCGTTCCACCATCTGCGGTATTCGCCGTCGCCAACGCGAAGAGGCCCGTAATTCTTCCGCAAAATCTTTCTCTCGAATACTCCAATAGCCGCCTGATCGGATGTTGTCATTGTCCAGGCTTCTGCGTCTTATACCAGAATGGTTTTCGTATGTCGAGAGAGGTGCTTACTCCTGAATTGCCTGCTCAGTTCAAAGTAGTACTTGCTGGTAGTAGCGATTCTGCGTTTGATTTCGTGCTGATATTATTTTGGGTGGTAATACTGGTTCCCCAGTAAAATAAATTCTCCTAAATCGTCCTACGAGGAGATTCTGATGTGGTCTGCAGAAGTCGTGAAAGGAGTCTAGGCTCGATGTGACCACAGCTTGAGCACATCTGTGAAGTGTTGTAAAGAAAAGAGAGCACAATAGATCGCCAGGTCGCATCATGTTAATATTCATCTATCTATCTACGATTCTCTTTTTTAGAATTTTTTCCATTTCTGTGCTCCCCGGCAAGCAATTTTTTATTAAAAATCTAAGCATTCTTCTTCTTAGGAAGACGTCATGGATTTTATCCGTCGTTGAATATCTACACATATTCTGGCACAATAAAATCAGCAGATTCCGCACCATTACATCAAAACCAAATCTAAACATCCAGGCAGGAATTGACCCGAGGTGGCGAAGCAGAAAGCACATATCGTCCCATGTATTAACTGTATCCACAAATGTCAAGGCATCCGACGAAAAGCGCAACGAAACAATCAGATAGCAAAATAAGTTAAGAAAGCAGCAAATAAAGGAAATCACACACAGAAACATATGGACACACATGCCAGTGCAATGTCCACTCAGCAATCTAATGCTTTCTTATCTACTGCACACTTACATCGAATAAATAGTTCTTATTCTTTGTATCCATGCAATGACAGTGCAATTGGTTCATATCCTTTGTCCGCTGGCCGCCTGTGTAGTCAGCCGTAGCGCAGTAGAGTGAAAGCTACGGTGTTGCAGACATCATCAACATTTGTCGACAACAATAAGCTTTTGCACTAACAAGTGCATATGTACACATATCGCTAGCTTAGAGTAAAAACTTGCTAAGTCCATTTTTACAAATTTTACAGGAGAGGCAAAAAACTTCTTATAGCCATTTTCTTCAAGTAACATTCAAAACTTTAAAGACAGCACTTTAGGAGTTTATTAAACTTTAAAGCAAAGCAAAACTCCATACGAAGGATAGTGATCGGATGCTAATTAAAAGATTTCGTATAAATTTGGTTTTATCAAATTTCCTGTGCCTCTTTTGGTCTAGGAAAATTAGCTTTTCGTTGAATATACAGTGCCGGACAAAATTATTGGCACAGAAAATGTTTCGCAATATCTGCAAAGTTTTTTATTCTTATTTATTTTCGATAATTTTCGTCCAACACCAAAAAAACATAAAAACTAAATATTTAAACTTTGTGCAAAACTCAAGAAAATTCAATAAATTTGCATACTAATTTGGACTTTCTATTCAGATTTTTACAAAAATTCTAAGTATGCAGTTTTATACCCCATCTAATTTTAGTATAACAAAGTGCAAGCCTAAGTTGCTGTTGCTAAAAAATCGCGCTGATATTTGGCAATTTTTTCCCCCTCAGGTTCTTCCATACAAAGTATGTATGTTGGCCAATTATTTTATTAGTGAGCAAATTTGTTGAATTTTCCTGAGTTTTACACAAAGTTTAGAGATTTTGTTCTTATATTTTTTGGTGAAGTACGAAATATATTTTTATTCAAAAATATTGAAAATAAATTAGAATAAAAAACTTTGCATATATTGCGAAAAATTCTCTGTGCCAATACTTTTGTCCGGCACTGTATTTCGAAATATGAGTTTTTATAAAAAGTCGACCCAGCAACTTTTCGCTCTAAGCTAGCGATGTGTACAAGCATACGTAGTTGCCCAATTGAATTATAAAAATAATAATAATAAAACCACAAATGTGCACAAATACTCGCAGTACGAAACAAATTGTTAGTAGCAAACGCATGAATTGAAAAGTTTTACGAAAAAAGCCAGGTACAAATGATTGTTTTTTGTATATGTATGTATATGGATGTGTCGTTGATCTGGAAAAAACAGCATAAGAGTTTATAGTAGCCCTGCAGGAACTAGCTAAACAAATACATACCGCAAGTGTTTGCACTAGACAGAAAGTTTGAGGAATTAAGTATCCAAATTTGATAAACTTAAATATACGATAACTTTGTATCCTTTTACCTTTAAGTAAAGATTTATTTGTGAAAATTTAGCAATATATATATTTTAGTGTTTCAAGCTTAGTCCTAGCCTAAAATTTAAAAAGCTAAGGCCAATCGTATATTTCCGTTTGGAAGTTGAGCTTTTTCCAATTTAGTACCTCCATTGATTTCTACCTGATTCTATCTACATACATACATGTATGAGATGTTTACACTCGAGTATCGACAAAATAATAATAATAATATATTATAACGCTTACACTTATGCTAAATGTTTGGCCGAGCTTCTCCTCCAATTCGTGGTGTGCGTTATACAAATGGAGGGACCTACAGTTTTACGCCGCCCCCGAACGGCAAATCGATTATATGACCTTTTTTTTGTGGCAGAAATATGCTCGGAGGTTTAACATTGCCTGCCGAGGGGCGACTGTTCTTAGTGAAATCTTTTTCTTATTTAGATGATGCATGGACCAGGGATCGAACACAGGTCCTGAGTAAATTAGTTCAAAAATAACGATGAATCTTCAATGCGCAAGAGCGCATACAATCAGTTTTCGTAGAATTTCCTATAGGGATTCTTGTTTGCTTGCTCTTTCATGCGCATTGCCCATCGAGTTTTTTGTTAGCTCAACAAATTAGAAACAGCCGCTGCCAATTTTATTTTGCAATTTACAAAGTTGTTCCTTTACGCAATTACCAAATGTCGCTCATTCGTTTGATGTTTGCTGTTTTCCGTATTTTCATGGTATTTTTGAAGATGATTGCTGGCGATTTTACCTTCCTTTTAATTTGCATAGAATGGTAAAAGTTCAACGACTTTACATATTTGAAATTGGTATTTTAACGATAGTTGCTGCTAAAAATATCCAATATAACTTTGAAAATTTAAATTTTTTTGATAATAAGTAATTGATGGTTATTTTCGTGATAGCTTGGTTAAAAGAAAATTTGAAAGAGGTGCAAATTTAGGTAGCTTAAATTAAAAAAAAAAAAGAACGACGGTGAATAGCTCGGTATTCTCATATAAAAATTTAAGAGTATCGTTAATTTCATCATGATCCAATAATCGGATTAATCCAAAGTTATTGGAAAACATGCATAAAAAAATATTCCGACGAATTGATAACCACCTCTTTTTTTTGAAACCGGCTAAAAATACCAACTCTTTTCTAATTTTTATTTTTTTTTATTTTAAATATTAATTTTTTTTTTTAATTTTTATCAAAGCCTGTTCTTTTGCCAAAAAGAAAAACAAGCTATGAACGATGAAAATCGATGGATAAGTAAACAAGTTTTGAAAGGTCAAATGAAAGTGTGCTTTATTTTTGTGTATGAAATAGTACATGGACACATTTACAAATTTTTTAAACTATCCTTTCATTAAAAAAAAATTCCGCTATTCATTTCGATGCTTGCGTATATGTATTTTTTGATCTACTCCGTACTTTTTCAATTGATTTACCAATTAATTTTTTCAATTCTATTGCTTATAATCTTATTTGTAACTTATTTTTAACTTTGTACAATTTTTTCTACCTTCTTTATTTGCAGTTCATCTTTCATCTCGCAGCAAATTTCTCATCTGCAAAACTTTAAGTGAGTACAATTTCTTAAATATTGTGCAAAGAATGTTGTTTGTAGTTATTTATGCTGCCGAAAAAATGTTCAATGGTTAAACCGAAACATTTTTCTGCTTTTATAACTCATTTCTTAACTTCTCATAAATGTATACAACTTTCTCGAAAACTTTTAACGAAGAGCTTTTCATAGAGTATTCGTTATATTGTTGAAATTTTGTGTACATATACATCCCGAATTTCTTACATAAATTGTTGATTTTCGACAAAGTTTGCCGCATCCTTTTTTAAATTATGCCTCTTCTTTCTTCCAATATCCAATTTACAGTGCTCGCAGATTAAAAATATGTTGTAGTTCTCTTCTACTAAAGGAAGTATATACGCACATACATACATACATATACCAACTTATAAATACAAATAGATACATATATACCTGAATTATATGCATCTATGCACATACATATATGCAAGTTAATGTATATAAATTTTCCACTTTGTGCAGCTGTGGCTGTGCCTGTAACTATGTCTATGGCTATGTGTGTATGTCACCTTTGTTTGCTTGTCGTATGTACTACTTCCGCCTTTCATTGGCGTTATTTGTTTTTAATTAACTCAGCGACGTAAATATTGTATGCGCCGTTGCTATTAACTTGAAAGAAAGCAAAAACACCAACAACAACCACCATGCATCGCATCCATCATCAATTCTGTCAACGCTAATGAGTGTTTGTGGGTGTATGTATGTATGTATGTGCAGCTGCAAAGTCCGACTGGTGGCAGTAATTGCAAGTAATTATGTATTTGAAGACTTCGCACGTGGACAAAGTATGCGTATACCTATATACATATGTATGTGTGTATGCATTGTACAAATAAATTAATTCCATACTCACCACTATTAAATTCCACATTTTCGCCGCCTCAGCAACGGTGGTACAGACGGTACTGCAGCCAGCTAGTAACATTAATTTTTGTGGTTTATTGTAGAGTAGATTGTACATAACGCTCGCGCCCAAACCGGGCTCACACTGCAATTAAAAAGTAAAAGAAGAAATGGTATTCATTAATTCATCATTTACGCCATTACTAAGCTTTTGATGGAGTTCTTTCTCTATATACAATTATTGCAATTCGCATATCTATGTTTTCTTTTGCGACCGCTTATTCGTTTCAATTTTATTTTTCCAACAAAAAGTTTTTTGAATTACTATACTTCAATAAAAAAACTTTCCGCAAACAAGCAGCAAATCAACTTGGCATTCATTTTCACACATTAAGCTAAATTAGCTTTCGGCGTGTTTGCAAGCATTTCAAGTGCACAAATCGCTTGAATATTTTCCAGTATACATACATAGTATATAATAATAGTGAGAAGCGCTAATGTGGCCATTTAAAGTTGTTATTCAAAACTGCAAATTTGTTGCAACAAAAAAAAAAAAAAAAAAAAAAAAAAAAAATATGGGCGTGCATGAAATATGCAAAAAAATGGCGACAACAACAAAAACGAGTGGAAAATTGAAATAGTTGCTAATGCGCCAGTCTCGTCGATGTACATATAAAATTAGTGAACGCCACTCTAACTATGTACAACGATTACTGTTATTGCTGTTTCTTGTTTAGGTTTTTTTACCGCCATTTTTCTGTTTTTGTTGCATATTTGCATGCAAGCGACAATTTTTCACACACTTAATGTGGCATGGCTTGCGTGTTTGCCACAAGCCGACAAAAAGGCGACAAAAAGGCGATAAAACGACAAGGCTGCGACGATGATGTGAGCTGGCATTTAGTTAAAGAGCTGAGTTGTGGCTGAAGTTGAAGTTGAAATAAGTGAAATTAAATTGATTTGATTTTAGATGAGTTGAGTTGAGTTGAGTTGAGTTGAGTTAAGTTGAGTTGAGTTGAGTACAGTGGAGTAGTTGTAAATAAGTGAACCGTGCAGCACGCGAACACCAATAAGCTTAGCGGCATATTTGTGGACAGATGGAGGGAATTAAGTTAACCGAAAAAGAAGGACACTTATGTGGGCATAATTGGGCCTTTAAAATAGCTATATGAAACGAACGAGAAGATAGAGGCAACTGTAGATCTTATTGAGGGATATACCTACTTTATAGTGTACGACACAATGATAAGGTAGCCTAAATATTAGCACAACAAAAAAGTCTACATAGATAAGTGCAAAATGCAATGCGACAAAATGACAAGGTTACTATTTTCCACTACTTTCAGTTCACTTTATAATGGAGTTAGTCAGACTTTGGAGGACGTCTGAGCGTATTAGTCGCCAATTGCCACTTTTAGTTCTTTAATTATGCCGCAATGTTTATTTTCAGGATGTATGGTGGTTGGTTGTAGTGCCTCCCAAGTTTCGCTCGGGATTCAATTAGCGCATAATAGCATAATTTTGTTGCACTTCTCGTGGATAATTTTATTCTAATGCAGCCGACCTGTCAAGCATTTATACAGTTTAAACAAACCAATTTGAATCGCTTATAAATTTGGGAATATCGCTTATTGTAGCACTAGATAAAATCGCTAACAGCATCATTATGTGTCTACCGAAAGTTTTGTGTATTAAGGAAACCAGCCCTGGGCATTTACACAGGAAATTAATTACTGTTTCCTCGCTGCCCTCTATGCGGCAGCTGCAGCATATATCACTATATGGGAGACCTGAGACGCCGAGCGTACCTCTATCTTGCATTCTTTGACTAGTATAGATATAGATAACGCCTCACATATGTCCAGAACTTCAGTCTGAAATATGACGGCATGGCTTGTCAGCCGCACGGACCGATAGGCACCAAGCTCCCCGGAATAACTCCTGTTCCCACACCGCAGTCCATCTTGGATCCGTAAGTGGAGATACATATGGCCTCCTTATCATTTGCTTGGCCTCTTCTACATTTCCTTATGGATGGAAACCGCACCAGTACATTCAAGCCAAAACCCTGGTTCGATACTATGTACTGCGTGGTTTTAATTTCTTTTGGACCAATGCGTAAGATTGGGCTATGCCCAAAGGCCTGCGTTTTCTACAGCCCCGATTACCTGAATCTTAGTTCTGAGTACATTACGGACGATATTCAGTGCTTCTGAGGGACATCATCTCAATGACCCAGTGATCCGCGAACAAGCCGCTCTTTGTAAGATACTTAGTCTATTGACATTGTACGGTCTACTTAAAGCTGGCCACCAAACTAGGGCGCTGTAGCTAAGGATCGCCCCTTATGATAGCCGGTGTACATCCACATCACAAGTTTCCGTTTTAGTCCCCAGGATGTATAGGCATTTCAAAAATTAAAGGGACACAACATTTTGACCAGTTATTTTATTATAAAAATACAGCTCGTTATCTAACAAACAAAGCATTCATGTCCAAATTTCAAACTTTGTTGAAAAATGTATTTGTTAGAGCAGATTGTAAACCATCCCTGCACGCTGAATATCACCACAATCTGAAATTGATGGCTGAAATGGTGGCTCATAATAGAATACATTCTAGAAGCAAATTCAAACTACCTTCATAGATACTAGCAAATCACTGTCATCAGTAGCTAAACACCCGAATTTCGTGGGGAAGGACAAGATAAAACAGCTGGGTTTACCTTTAATATGACATATTTCGGTCTGACATGCATTGTTGCCTCTTCAGGTAAAATTTTAAAGTTCTGTCGGCATTTTCATCAAGCTAAGGAAGCAAGCACGCAGAAAAAATACTCTGGTGCTCCAGCATGTTCATCTGAGTTGACGGAAAGTAAGGTTTTAGGGTACCGCTGGAAGTAAAAGCGTTCCAAAACATCAACGAACCTCTAAGGAAGTTCCGTGTGGAAACATACACGTCCACTATATGTAGGCACACCTGAGCAAAATATGTCATACCAAAGGCAAAGCCAGCTCGTTTATCTTGCCTTTTCCCACGAAACTCGGTTATTTGCTGAGGTGCTGAGTCACCATTTTAGCCATCTTGTTCAGACTTTGCCGATATTAAACATGCAAGAATGGCCATTCTGATTTTTTTTCACATACCTTCTATTTAAACGGGATTTAAATTTGACAAATTGCTTTAACAAGTAAATATTGGGCACTTTCGCATTTTGCTTAGTGGTTTGGTTTCTTGTTTAAAAGTAACCACACGTCTAAGGCAGCCGGCAATGAGCCGTGGTTCCATTTATTAATATTAAGTTAGATGCTCTTTTAACGATATCGACTTATACCTATGCATAGAAGATAGAATATTGTGTCCATGCAAGCTTTAATACCAACCTGGACTAACATGGCACGCAAATCCAAGAATAGCTAAAACTATACCATGTCAAGCTGTCCCCTCTTTTTGGGTGAGGGAGCTATCTAGTATTTGAAGCAAATAAATTACATTTAGCAAAGGGCCCCACAGTTGGAATACCGCAGTTGGAAGCCGCTATTACATTTTTATTCATGATTATGTAACTTAAAACAAATAATTCTGAACAAGAATCAATATGGACCGTAGCACCACCCAAAGACTTCTTGTTGCATAGAATAGTAGGACATAATTTTTAACGACACGCTTGAGCTCCATTAAGAAGTTTGATCAGATATTGTGGTGTTCTCCGAAGTACCAACTATATTTTTATATATTTTTTTTTACAACTAAAATTGTCATTAAATTAAGGAATAGGGCTAAATAAATTTATTAAAAATTATGTCAAAATAACTAATTGACTAAATGACTTAAGTTAAAATAACATCAAAGGTTTGACAGCTGTTCTTTCGAGCATAAAAATGTAGTCTACCTTACGAAATATCGTACATATCTGAAATGTACCACCCTAATTTTTCTACTCCAAATATGTATGTATCTACGCCTCAAACTACTAGCAATTCCATTGCTCTGCACCAGATTGCCAATTCTGTGACCTTTCCGGCACTACACTGTACATATGTACCTTCAAACAAGGTCACCGCACATAAAACACGGTAATGAGCAGCGAAGTAATAAAGTGCAAATATAAAGCAGCCAACAAATGTGCTTTCACTATTATTTAAAGTATACACACCGGCACTTATGTAAGAGTATGCCAATTAGTTGTAGCCGCGAAGGTGAAAGCCAAGAAGTCGCAAGTGAAGGCAAGGTTAGCTGTACAAGCAAATTCAAAAGCGAAGGCGAATGTGAATGCGAAGGTTGCGTATAATCAACCGCGCATAAGCCAAGCGATTCGACCCAGGCAACGACGCTTAACGGTCTCAGCTCAGCGTTGTTCAGGTATTTTATTTGCCGCTGGGCGTACATCTATAAAGTTGGAAGTCATTTGCATTTTGACGCCCAAAACTTAGAGGCACATGCAATTCCGTCAAAAGAACAACAACAACAACCAACAACAGCAACAACAAACAAACAAAGCAAAAACAATAACGACTGGACTGTAAAGTGTGAGACTCTGAAGGTAGAATGAGAAGTCGAAAACAACAGCAATGCCTATTTGCCAACCTAAATACTTCGTACTTTTGTGTACAAATAGAGGTATACGTGTAACTGGTGTGCGCTCGTAAAAATGGTAATAAGCGTATAAGCCAACACGCCTGAAAGTGCGCTACACACGAACCGCAGAAGTGTAAGAAGCAGCCCCCTAGGTGCTTGGCTGGGCGTGGTTCAAGTCGTTGGTGCTAAATGCTACAACCAAAGGTGCAGATGTCGAGGTGATTGATGTACGTAAGTCTGTACATATGTCTGTGCATGAGTGTGCTTGCTTTGCTCGTCATCGTTGCTGTTTTTTGTGGCGAGTGCCCTTTTATGTGCAGCACGTTATTGTGCTGTGTGTTGCTGTCTTTCCGTTGCCACATTTCACAAACAATTTTTATGCTGATGAAGGCTAAAAGCAAAGCGCGGCGCACTAACTAGCGCTAGCGCCTATATGTATTAATATAGGATATGTGTAAGCGGTATGCCGAAGTGAAATGAAATGACCGACGCAGCTGCAGAACAGTTATTATTTTTATGTACATACCCACCGCATGCCTTACGACAGCTCGCAGGACATGGCGTGTA